CTTGTCACGAACCCTCAACCCTCAAACCTAGCTCTGCAATGGTAAAGAAGAATAGATGAGTAAGGATGGCAATTGGGTAGGGCAGGACAACCTGTGTGACCTGCTAAGCTTTTGATCTGCCCTATCCTGCCCTATTTAACATTTTTCAAGTTGTTGCCCTGTCCTGCCCGCCCTATTAGATCTTGCCTTGTCCTATTTAGACTCTCCTTCGTTTTTTAACTTTTCTCATTTTGTAAGAATTATTCAAGTTTTTATAACTTTTGACATTTTTAATGAAGCTAAAACTCCTTACCTATCTTGTCCTTCCCTATTCAAAATTTTCTTAAAAAGTGTTTGACCTGCCTTATCTTGCCCCTGCCCCGTTTAAGTATTACCCTGCCCTATTGACATCCCAATACATGAGGTTTAACAAATATACCTGTTTACCCGAAAAATGGATAGTAATTGAATTTATACGTAGTTCTGAAGATACGTGGTATAGCTTGATACAAATTGGAAAAGAAAAATAAATGAATATTAAAATTAGTTGTAAAAGAAATAAAATTAAACCAAATGAACTAGTTAGCCTAAGCCTTCAAGTTTGCCACCTTCAAATTAAGTGAAGAACGATTGGTAGAAGAAACAATATGACTAAATACCAAAAGCCAAAAAAGGATACTATTTGCTATATTTTCTGTATATATCAGAATGAATGTGTGTATCCCTCCTACAAATGATAACCACTCTTAATATAGTGGGGGAATCCCATTTTAGATATAATTAAAAATACATAGTGGGGATCCCATGATAGATTAATTAATTAGCTTTTCCTAGATTCAAGCCGTGATTTTTGCCGAGATTCTCTCCCCAAATGCGGCTATAACAGCTCTTTTGTTTCTTGGCTCAAAATTATTTTTGGCCGATCTCAATCTTGACCGGTCCATGGGTCTCGAGCTCGACCTTGACTCGATCTCGATTTTGGTCGGTCTTGGTATTAATCGGTCTTTGGGTCTCGAGCTCGATCTAGACTCAATCTCGATATTGACCGGTCTCTGGGGCTCTAGCTCGAGAACCTAACTTCGTATCATGGCTCGATATTACAATGATGAACCTTGGACCATCATATTCCAATCTCGATTAGTCATACGAAGGGCAGACTCAGTTTTGACCTTATACAATACCTGGAATTTAACAAACAAAAATACCGAAGTCTTCTCTTTAATCTCTCTAAGATGAATTAGTACCAAATAGAGGGAGTGGAGGTGCGTTTATCTGTATTTTATGAGCTTCCAAGATGAGTTCTATGCCATTGGGAAAATAGCAAGTTAATAAGATTTGTTTGGCAAAAAACATGATATGATTCAGTGCATTTTGATTTGTACACTCTCTCAATCATCAAATTGGGCCGGTGCCTCTTTTGATTTGTGCTAGCTATTTTTGGGGGGCAAAAATCTCAAGAACAGCTAGATCGAATTGGGTCCTGACACCCACAACCACCAATTACATGTACACAAACTCGTACAATAATCAAGATTCTCTTCTTTAATTAATCTAGAAAATGGAGAAATCAAAGAGCTTGCAATCAAATGCACACACCATATATAAATAGTCATATCTTAAAACGTGAAGAATTTGAAAGTGTACTNTTCTTTAATTAATCTAGAAAATGGAGAAATCAAAGAGCTTGCAATCAAATGCACACACCATATATAAATAGTCATATCTTAAAACGTGGAGAATTTGATAGTGTACTGCAATATATAATAGGATGATTATCCCAAGGCCCAAGCATCAGAAGTCCAATTAAGGGCTAACGATCAAGTGAATAGCGGCCCATTTTAATTCTACAGAGCCAACTTAACTTTTATTTCATAATATCCCAAAATTCTGAATCTGAGAAGCTAGAATAAGCGTACTCGTATAAACTTTAAAAAACAGTTAACATTTGAATACTTACCTGCAAGTATAAGGTGATATATTGGAGAGAGATCATGAACAGGAAACCCTACGTTCTCGGATGAAAGATGAAAGTGAGAGTAAAGTGGCTATTCGTTTGTGTGAAAATGGTGGAACTGTACGAAGGAATGATTTTCTTATTTATTGTCCCGCTGGTATGAGATCAAATACCACATATAACCTGCTATTTTTTAACCTTATTTTTAACCTGCTGAAATCAATGTTCAAGAACCGATTCTGAAGAGCAAATAGTAATGAACAAATGAATTTAACATTTATATATTGACAACGTAATTTTTGTTATAAATAGTATTTTATTTATGGTGAATGTCTATATTTTAGAGAGATTTTAGGGTTGTTACTTGATGACTAAGTCATTTCTTCCCTATAAATAGACGGGTTCTATTTCATTGTAATTCATCCCAAATCAATAAGAATTCTCTCTCTCTCTCTACTTTTCCCTGCAATACTCTTTTCTTCTTTTATTGTTTCATAACACGTCATCAGCACGAGACTCTAACCAATTGAGTAGAAGCTTTGGGATTGAGCATAATGATTGTCAATTGTTCTATGAACTTCCTTCATGATTAAATTCTGGATTTAAAGTAAGTATTTTACTTTATTTTTCTCTTTTAAATTCTTGAAATTCTATGATTTGATTTTAAATACAAGCAAAGACAATAAATTTTGATTATAACTCTATTAGAGTTTATAAGAAATTATAACCACGCGAAGTGGTAAAATTTCTATGCCATGATCAAATCATATATGATTATGAGCACAATAAGTGGAAACTTGTCCCATTGAATTTGTTTCATTTTCATTTCCCTTAAGAGAATATGATAGCAATATGTGACAAGTCTGAAATAAGACAAAATTATTATCGTGAAGGTGTCAATGGATGTGGACGTGGCAATAGACGAAATTATAATCGTCATCATTATGATAATAAGAATAATAAGGATTCTCAAAATAATCCTTCACTCTGTGAAAGTAATATTTGTCATCGATTTGACATGAGATTTTGTAAAGCACATATAGATGATTATGGTCCATTCATGATGTGAATGTGACAACATCTAATTTATGAATACATATTTATTCTTGGAAGAATATGAACGTGCTAGTGGTAGTGAATATACCACACTCACCTCTAGAAGAAGGTTTGAGATGAAATAAAAAAATAATATCATGAATGGTCTTTAGTCACATACCTATTATACGCCAAAATATTTTGGCAATATGATTATTAAAAGACAACAGTAATGCAAGAAACAGATCTAGCATATAAGTTTGACCATGACCATAATGGTATAACTTTCTCCTTAAAAGTTTATTCACCATATAGATATTGATGAATACGTGGTAGTACAAAATTAATTGAGAGCTCTGGAAGAGCCAATTATACTATTTTGTGTCGTAGTAAGTCTCAAAGAAACTTATTGAGTTTTTAAAGTATTCGCGAAAGCGGATGGTTATATTGAGACTATAAATAATGAAGATTTAATATCTTTATATTACTATAACTGTAGTGGGTTAATATGTATATATGAATAGTACTCGCTTTATTGCTTGATTTGTATTACACAAATAAAAAATATGGTAAAATTACATGACACATTAGACTGGATGTTTATTGATATAAACCCATGTCGCAGTAAACGAGAAGTTTAATTAACAATTGCGCATGTCATGATGTAAACCTGAAGTTTGCTAATACAGATAATTTTATCAAGCATGGCCTATTGAGCAATCTTGATTTAGATGCGCAAAATAAATGAGAATTAACATGGGTAAGTGTTGAAGGAGATTATTTATGAATTCTCTTGTTTTGCTTGTTCTCGCGATTACTATACCAACTAAATTGGGATTGAATCCCTTGAATTCTGAAATTTATCAAAGGTGAATATGGGCCCATTCACCTGCCATGTATAACACATAAGATGCATCTATGAGATGGTTACATGTGCGATTATTATTAACCTGCAACCTGGTGTTTGTGATGTAACTTGCTCAATAATTTAATTTAGAGCATAATTTTCAGATTTTCTATTCAAGACAGTTCATCTTGATAAGTTAGTTTACATCACAACTGGTTTAGCAAAATAATTTATTGAGTGCCTCCACTTAATAGTTAAACTATTGCTTATGAGAACAAAGTTATCTATATTAGTTTGATATACGTTATACACGAAAGTATATTATATTCTCCCCTTACAAGTAGTTCGAGGTCAGGAACTAAATAATTCCATCTTATATTATTGATGTGCGGTGTATATTTTGATTAACACCATAACCCACAAAGGTGGGGTTTCAAAGTTCAGAAAGTAAGTTAGTTTTTCTAACATGAGGGGGAGACAAGATAAACAGTTGAGAACAAGTTACATGGAATGAATTATCATTTGTACATCGAGATCCTCGAATAAAATAATATGAACTTGAAGTTCATAAAATGATAATTCATTTGCAATATATTGCAAAGCATGACAGATACATTTGCTGACCCAAAGAAAGTAATTATATTCTCACTGAAAATGCTCCTATTAGAATAAGTCCTAGAAGGACAAAGTCTATGGTACATTTAAAGAGCATAGACAAATCAGTTTCAAATAAAATTATTGATA